GGCTGCGAACCTTAAGGTCAGCGGTTCGAAACTACCAGCCGCTCCGCGGGAGAAAGATGAGGCTTTCTACTCCCGTAAGGATTTACACCCTCAGAAACCCTGTACAGGGTCCTTATCAATCCAAGGAAGTGATAAAAGAACACATACAAGAGGGCTTAAGAACGTTTGTGGGAAAATTCCATTATCTTTTAATTCCATTTTTCCATGAAATTTTTAAAGCCCCCTCATGTCAGTTCAAAAGAAACACAAAAGCACAGCCACCTGTGACTGGCTTTGTGTAAATGACAATGGCCACTAAAAATATACAGTGAAACCTTAAGAGCCAGAATTCCATGAGACTGCCTTGTTTTTCTGGGTCTCACAAGTTTTCTACATTTGACAGAGTACAGTCTTATCAATTTTATACTACCTGTTTTAGTGGAAAAGATTTTGGAGTTTTTCCTTTTTGACAGGTTTGTCTTAGTTTCCAGCTTTTGCAGGATTTCCTGTATATATATATACATATATATACACATACATATATATACATATATTCCTATACATACAGTACCAAGCTAAGTAATAACTGTATCTAAGAAGTAATGAATTAAGTGACAGAGATTGGTTGAAAAGAGAAAAGATATAAGAAATCCAGTATTTGCCTTTAAATGACACTTAGCTGCTATTTGGCATCATTACACAAGTAACAACTCATACCAACGTAGGAGAAAGAAGTCTCAGTTCATGGAAGCTCACACGAGGCTCGACACTTTTAACATGGCAGGTAATATCATCTGGAAGTTATTTTCAATCATTGAAACAATCACCTACAATGAGAAACATCTAGCTCCCAAGGTCAATGGCAAATTCGGGTAAAGAAATAATGAATTTTTAAAGTCTAGCCTAATCTACTTTAGGGATGATCAAGTGATGACATGATGCCCTCTTCACTCTGTGGCAGTGCTCAAAACAGACAGACCTGCCCGTTTCACTGTTAACTTCAATGCTCCCAATCTGAATCCACAGTGGTCTGTCAGACACTGTAAGGGAGCAGCAGGACTCGTCACTGTCTGATGTAATTGCTGCCATTTGTTGAGACCTATGGTAGAAAAAACCAAGTTAACAAAAATAGAGCAGTCATTTGAGTTCTCTTTAATCCATTTTATCAAAAAATAATTTCAAAATAAGACCAAAATTCAGTTGAATTTTCACAATGAATTTATACTGGAAAACATGTTGGCGTCACAGAATGTGAAGCTTTGGTTCTGAAGGAAAAAGAGACTTGAGGTGTGGACACACACCAGCCTTGGCCAGGAGAGGGCACTCTCCGGCCCAAGTCAGTTTAGCAGCAAAATGCCATCTGGCACACCAGAATGCTGTCCTCCAAGCAAATTTACAAACGAAAGGGAAATGTTAATTTGTAGTTCATGTCCCTTAGAGAGAAAAAAAAATTTTTTTTAACTAGCCTAACACTACCTACAGGCAAAGGAAAGTGTAGGGAGCAGTCCTCACCTCAGTCCTCAATCAGGGCTGAAGTAGCCCTCCCTATCCAAATTGCATCATTAAGGAGCTCAGATGGCCTGTTCTGAATAACGAACAAAACGAGCTGTAGCTTTCTCCTCCATTAATCCCAATGACCACCTCCTTATGTATATTTTTCAGAACCTCAACTGTGTGAGGTAATACCTGCTTGAAATAATAGTTATGACAAAGTCAAGTTCTGTCACTTAGGCTTTCAAAGCAGAGACTTCTGTTGTTATTAAGTGCCATCGAGTCAGTTCCTACCCATAGCGACCCTGTATAGGTTTCCGAGGAGCAGCTGGTGAGCTTGAACTGCCAACCTTGCAGTTCAAATGGCTTTGCAGTCTGGCGCATTAGCCCACAGCACCACACCAGGACTCCTAGTGATAACATGATTCAAATGATGGATTACAATTCTTGTTGTTAAATGCCACTGAGTTGGTTTTAACTCCTAGCAATCCTGTATAGGGTTTATGAGGAGTGGCTGGTGAGTTTGAACCGCTAACCTTTAAGCTGACCTTGCAGTCCACTTAGAATGTGGGCAGCTACTTATCCTAGAATGTCACATTATTGCTATTATTTTTAACATATTTGCTTGTTTGCTTACTTTCCTAGTTTAAATGTAACTAGGAAAAACACACATCCATCACATCTGAGTATAGTCAATTTGGGGGTCATTAGTTTAGATCATGTCCAGTTCTATAGTAAAATTGTTTTTTAACTGCCATTAAAGCAGAGTTCTGGTGTGGTGCTGTAGGAGACATACTCGACCATTAGGTCGGTTTGAACTGCAAGGCTGATGGTTCAAATCCTCCAGTTGCTCTTCAGAAACTATGAGTCGGAACCGACTTGACAGCACTAAACAACAATAAATTAGAAACATAGTATATGAATCCATTTTTAATGGTAATTTTATAAACCAGTTAAGGAGTCCTAGAGTGGCGCTGTAGGGTTAGTACTGTACTAACTGCATGGTCAGCGATTCAAACTCACCAGCTGTTCCTTGGAAATGTAGTCAGAGTCAAAACTGACTCTAAAGCACTTAACAACCATCTATAAACATAATTACTTGTAAAGTTTGACTCAGAGTAAGCCATATATACATATTTTTTTTTAATGAATAACTTTTGTTAATAGAAAAACTTTAATACAAGAGGACTTCAACAAGTTTGTAGAAAAATTTAATTAAAAGATAATGGAATTTTTCCATGAATGTTCTGAAGCCTCCTCGTATATCACTGACTTGTTGTTAAGTGCTGTCGAGTCGGTTCTGCCCATAACGGCTCTGTACAGGGTTTCTGAGGGGCAACTGGTGAGCTTGAACCACTGACCTTGCAGTTCAAACTGACTTTTGCAGACCAGTGCATTAACCCTCAGCGCCACACCAGGACTCCGTACTACTGACTATAAAACCACAAACAAGAAAAAAAAAAAAAAGGACCGGATTTGATCCCCTATGGCAAAAGTAAATTGTGTGAGGGTTGAATAATTATTAACAATTTCCTTTTTGGTTGAATAATTATTAACAATTTCCTTTTTGGTTGATTATTAACAATTTCCTTTTTGGTTCAAGACAAAAGGAGTCAAGTAGATGCATCAAAGAGAATCATCTCCATTTCCCATTTCCACCCCCAAATGCAATGAAAAATATTAACCCGCTACCTCCAAGTCCCCAGGTCTTTGGAACTAATGTCAACGTGTGTTTTCCCTCAATGCATTTACAGTCTCAGAATTGTCTTTGGAAATTTACCAATGATACAGGATATTGGACAGGGAGCCCTGGCTATAACATAATACATCGAGGGGCATGCCATGAAATGACACCAATTTCATTGGAAATTACTTCTTTTGCTGTTCTTTAAGAGAAAACAGAAGTACAATGATGGCAACTATATCTAGGAGGCATCAGAAATATGAAGGGGCTTCAAAAAGTTCATGGAACATTTTATTTTAAAAGATAATGGAATTTTTCCACAAACTTTTTAAGGCCCCTTCATGACCAGGGCAAATAACAGAGTAAGCAAACATTCCATCTCCCTTTTGTTGTTGTTTGGTGCTGCACTAAACACTATGAACTGAACACTGCCCGGTCCTGTGCCATCCTGTTAGAGCTCATTGTTGTAGCCACTGCGGCAGTCCATGTCTTGGCGGTCTTCCTCTTCCTCACTAACCCTGCTTTATTTACTAACCATCTTCCTTTTACAGTGTGTGAGAGGAGAGGAAGTCATGCTCAGAGAGCAGAGCCCAGAATTCAAGACTACAAATTTAAGATTATACACATGTACTCTTGCTGAACACTATACATTTTCTGTTAATACCATACCGTATGATGCAATTTGAACTAGCAGTGAAGGCATAAATAGTACCTTGCGTTACAGTCAGACATTCTGGTTTTCTAGAGTCTGAAAATAACAAGCCATTTTTCTAGTTTTAAACAAATAGCACATGGTTCTTCCTAGCATACCAGGACTCATACTGAGATGTGGCACTCGGAGCAGAGTCCTTGCTAATACTAAACTGTGGGCAGAAATTTTAGGTTTGTAATCTCAAAATGAGCTGTGGGTGAAAATGACGAACCTCTGGAAAATACGACCACAACACACATAAGGCCTGAGAATGCGAGGTATTAACCTAAGAAAGGGGAAAGGATCCCTCACTTCATTGTATCAATACCAATAAAATATACGAGGCATATTCAGGTTAGGATCTACATTTTCACCTCGATTTGGCCACAAGACATTAAACAAAAAGCCAGCCAGAGTTCCTGAGATCACCACTCTCCTTGCAGAACTCCACTATACTGAACCCCACAGTTCACATGGCTCACGCCGTTTGAAAAAACTTGGGATGTGCCAGGTTTTCTGATTTAATAGTGATTGGTCATTAGTACATAAGATCCTGAGGCAAAACTATTCATTTATTTATGAGCGTATCTAGTTATATCAGGCAATATGCCTTGGACAAACTTGTGGCCACCTAGACTCACAGACCCTTTAGGGCATAGTAGAATTGTCCCATGAGGCTTTCAAGGCTGCAATCCTTAAGGATTCCTGGCATGGCACTGCAGGATAAGGACTGGATAGCTAATTGCAAGGTTGGTTGGCTGGTTATGTGCCATGGAGTCAGTTCTGACTCACTGTGACCCTCTATAGGGTTTCCGAGGCTGCAAATCTTTACAGGAGCAGAAAGTCACATCTTTCTCCCATGGAAAAGCTGGTAGTTTTTGAAGTGTTGACCTTGAGGTTAGCAACCCAACTCGTAACCACATTACCAAAGCTCCTTACATTGTAGTATATTCTGCAAGGTAGGTGATTGAAACCCATCAGCCACTCCTTGGAAACTATATGCAGACTGACTGAATTGGAACCAACTGGAAGGCACTAACAACCTTTATGGAAACAGTCAGACTGTCACATCTTTGTATGCTGACTCATAGTGACCTTGTATAGGGTGCCCAAGATTGTAAATCTATACGGGAACAGACAGCCTCATCTTTCTCCCTCAAAATGGCTGGTGGGTTCAAACCACTAGCTTTTTTGGTTAGCTTAACCACTGTGCCACTAGAGTTCCTTGCTAAGCACAAGTAGGGTAGAAATAGGGAAATATAGTCCTAGGTGTCAAAACAGAACTGAGACCCATAATGGTTTTCAAGGCTGTGATCTCTCAGAACCAAATCACCAAGCCTTTCTTTCAAGGTTCCTCCAAGTGGGTTCCAACTGCCAACCTTTTAGCTAGTAGTTGAGCCATTTGTGCTACCCACGTACTTGTAGGAAACTTGCAAGTATACTGTACATAAGTGAATGGGGCAAGAGATGAAACACTGTCTTAATTCCGTTCTCCCTTCACCATAATCCCTGCCCTCCCAACCAGCTGCTCTCCATCAATGTCTGTTGAAGTAGAGTACATGCCGACTTCCAGAAACTCCTGGGAGATTAGTGACTATGATTACTGTAATTTTCAGGTAAGAATAACATTGTTATTCTTGTCATTTATACTGAGTAAATGTCACAGAAAAATATCTAAAATTGCAGTGGTGGTAATGACAGCAATGGTCTTGTGCCATTTAAACACAATGACCTTATGGTTGTGGTGGTGTGCCATAGAGTTGGTTCTGACTCATAGAAACCCTGCAAAGGGCTTCCAAGGCTATAAATCTCTGTGGGAGCAGAAAGCTTCATCTTTCTCCTGCAGAACAGCTGGTAGTTTCAAACTACTGACCTTAAGGCTAGCAGCCCAACTCGTAAGCACTATGCTACCAGAGCTCCTTAATGACTCTATAAAGAGGTAATTACTATCTTGCCCATTATACAGATGATAGGTAACTTGCCAAAGATCACATAGCTTCTAAGAAGCAAATCGAAGTCAGTGCTGGAACTTTCAAAATGTTTTAGGAATGTGTACTCTCAAACATGTGCCTACAAAGTGAGATACCTGCCCCATCCATATTCGGCATCACTGGTACAAAATGCTAATGAATGCTCCAACCTGCCTGCATCACTTGCAAGTTAAACCCTCAGTAAGTATCAATGACTTTTTACACTTCCCTGAATGACAACCCTCACCCATTTCTACAAAAAC